CTCATGTTGAAGTAGTAGATTCAAGCAAGGATTCGATGCAATCTAACAGCCAGTATAATAAAGGTCAGCAGCACTCGAGAAGGATGCCAAGGAATCCACAAGCTAATAATAACAATAACAGATCAGCAGCAGATAGGTTTCATGGGAATGATGGTGTTGTGTGGGCCCCTGTTCGTGCCCACAACAAAGAAGATCGTGGTGATGAGCACAGTCAAAGTCAAAGTCAAAGCCAAAGAGTTGTTCAGGATGATGTGGTGGTGCCAGTGAAGACGAGTGTTAACTCGGTCCAGACTAATCTGAAAAGCAGAAGGGCAGAAATGGAAAGATATGTTCCGAAACCAGTAGCTAAAGAACTGGCACAGCAATCATCAACACCATCTTCACCCATGAAAGGTGCATTAGAAGAAGATACATCAGAAGAGTTGGTTGTTCAACCTGTGGTTCCAGTATCATCTGATAATAATAATAAGCAAAATAAGGCACTGATGAAATCCCAGCAACAGGGAGTGTCTGTAAAGAAAAATAGTAATAATCAGAAAGCTGCGGGTGTGGGTGTGAGCCAGAAGAGTGAAGTTACAGGTGAAATGAATGTGATGCATGACTGGGACCCGTCTGATGGGTGGTTTATGCCTGAATATCCACCACCACCACCAACAACAACAACAAGTGTTGTGAAAGATGAAGGTGGTGGTAATAAAGGAAAGAAACCAGCAGCAGCATATAACAAGAGTCAGAGTAGGAGCACAGTGGCAGTGGCAGTGAAAAATCATCAGGATGAAGCCGAGGTAATAACAGAGAGGCCTACTTCTGCGAAAGAGAATCGTTCTGCTCATTGGCAACCAAAACCTCAAGCTCAAGCAGCGGCATATAAAGGTCAAGGTGGTGGTGAGGAACATCATCATGGTGGTGAAGAGGGTAGAAGGGAGAGAAAGCCAAGAGGAGGAGGAGGAGGAGGAGTACGGATTCATTCCCCAAATAATAACGTGGAAGATGAAGCCCCTCCATTTGAGCAGCAGCCAGGTTTTAGGAAGTATGGGCAAAACAACCGTGGTGGTGGTGGTGGGCGGCAGCATAATAGCAATAATAACGCAAACATAAACCGGGAAAGGCCAAGGCAAAATCTGCATTATGAGTATCAGCCAGTCGGATCAAACAAACTTGATGCAGGTGCAGCAGCTGTAGCTGATGGGTCTGGGAATGCAGCTGGTCAGAGGTACAAAGAGAGGGGTCCAGGTCAATCAAGACGGGGTGGCGGTGACGGTAACGGTAACGGTAGCGGTGGCGGGGGTAACTTTTATGGGTGGCAATAGTGGTGGTGATTGAAGTGAAGAGAAGAGAAGAGAAGTCAGATGATGTTTACTCTTTTTTTTTGGGGTCAGAAAATTGGTGGGTGGTGTGAAGGTATGAATGGTGGGGTTATATTTTAGTGGTTTAATAATATGATTTTATAAATGTGTTATTGGTATGGTATGTCAGGTAGGGGCATGCATTGAGCAGAGAGAATAGAGTTTGGGTTGTTTAGGGCAGACAGAGAGAGAGAGTGAGGAAGGCAAAGTGTTGCAGTTTATTACACGAGAGGGAGGGACGTGGCGGTTTCTTATGTGAGTGTTCTGAATATTGTAATATTCTTCTGTCTTTCCTGTTATTAGGAGAGGAGGTATACATTGTCTTGTGTTGTGTTGTGGAAGGAAGGAATGATGCGTTTTGGTGAATTGTTGTGGAAGGAGAGAGAAGAGATGAGCCCCTTCTTGTTTGGCCTAATATTGTTTTAATGTGACTGGTTTGCCCTGAATATTTGGTAGATAGATCTGATCTGATGTCATGAACCTTGTTATTGTTGTTTCACTGTTTCATCTATAGCATCTAGCTAATTCTCAGTTAACGTTACATCATTGTTTTTAGTTACACTCAAATGCCCTATTATTTCATTTCATTTTTTTTTAAAGAAAGGGATTTCCATTTCCTGATATTACATCAGTTAGCCATATCATGGGTCGGAACCCAACCCAATGATAAACTCTTGTGGTTTGTTCGAGAAGAGGATGATATTTTGACATGATTTGCGTTTCTCCACTAGCATTTACTCATTTCATGAGTCAACATAGGGGTGTTAATGGGGCCAATGAGGGGTCCGTTAATATGTTATTTATATTAATATATATTAATTATATAAATATAATAAATAATAGTAATGTTTTTGAAATGTAATATGTTATTTTTGTTTTTTACATGTAAAATTATGTTATAAATAATTATTTTTTACTTAAAAATAGTTTCTTTTAGCTAAGAAAACAGTTTCTTTAGCTAAAATTAAAAACTGTCCAAACGGGGGCACGGGTGATCCAAGGATTTAGGGGTGGGGAGGCTAGAGATTTTGGGACGGGGCGATGGAACGGAGGAATTTTGGGAGTAGTGGCCGGCGGCAGATGCAACCCCTGCCTCGTTTGTCTCAGTTGATATCCATGTCTTTGTTTCCTCTTCTATTTTCCTTGAATACCTTGTTGATATCCATGTCTTTGTTTCCTCTTCTATTTTCCTTGAATACCTTGTTAACTCTGTTTGATCTGAAATTTCTCATTTAACCCTAATTACCTTATTTTTATCTGTTTATTTTGTTCAACCTTAAAAATTACACTAATTATTCAAATATATATATATATATATATATATATCTATATATATATATATATATATATATATATATATAGGGAAGAGGGAAGAGTTATTTGGAAAACAAAAAACCCTAAAAATCATAAAAGTGTAATAAAAAAATACTTAGAGATCACAAGACTTTTTTTAGAATTTTTTTTGAAAAAATCGCAGCTTTCTATACAACGGAAAAAATTTTGAAAAAAAAAAAAATTTATAAATTTTTTTTTTTTGATTTTTGATTTTTTTTTCAGCGAATTTTAAGAAAAAACTACGATTTTTTATAAAAAAATTCAAAAAAAGGTTTTGTGATCTCTAAGTGTTTTTTATGCATTTTTATGTATTTTTAGGGTTTTTTTTAGGGTTTTTTGTTTATATATATATATATCTATATATATAATATCTATATATCTATATATATATATATATATATATAATGTTATTCTAAGTTTAATTTTAATTATTTTTATAAATAAAAATATTAAATTTAGGATAATAATTTCGATACAACCATAGTGTATTTGGGATGACCCGTCCTGGGGAAACTAAACGAGGTAAAAATTACCCTCGACATGAACCCAAAAACTTTTGTAAAAATACCTTCACACACAATCATGTCGTGCTAATTTTGTATAACTAGTGGGGATGTTTTTGAGTTTATTAATTTCGATAATATTTTCATAAATGTTCGTTTACATAGATAACATCATTGTAATATTGTCATACATATGAATCCTTTTCGTGACTTTATTATTATATAGGGATCATTTATGTAACTTTGTTTTACATACAAACCAATACTATACTTTTATTTTATATAAAGGTCATTTCTAAATTTTGTTGTTAAACATGAATTTGTAATTATATGTTTATACATATTATGATTATTTCTGATACTTAAAGATCATTGTATTTTTATTTATTTTTATTTTTTTATTTTTTTGTGCATGGAGACCATTTCTATCATTACCTAATTAGATGGTCCGAATCTCTCTAATTGTATCATATCAAATTATTATATATATATTTTTTTACATATAAACTAGTTATGTAATTTTGTACTATTATACAATTTTACAATATTTTTTCTTATGAGGCCATTGATTCGTTAATGGGTGTATGAGCTGGGGGCTATACGGATTACGGAGGTTCGAAAAAGACAAACAATGGTCAAACATGTTTGACGACCCATCATCCGTGACTCAAGGGTCTACGCGATTTGGGCTCTCCCTCTTTACTTAGCTTCGGAGTTGTGGTGTGTATATATATATATATATATATATATATATATCTATATATATATATATATATATATATATATATATATATATATATATATATAGCTAGGATCTTTTGAGAACTGAAAGTTTTCCGAGAACCCAAGAACCAAACCAGGGCCATTAGATCAAAATAATAAAAGGTTAGGATCCTTTGTGGTATTTTTGTAAATACTTGAAAAAAAACAACACAGGGGCATGATAATTAAATGATTCAGGGGCATTTTAGTGATGAATTACCCCGATTCAACCCCCACCGTTCTCTCTCTTCGCTCATGTTCTTCACTTCTTCCTCATCGTCGTTATCTTTAGTCGCCATTGATCTGGAAATTGGAATCGATTTCCTTTTTCTCCACCGCAAGCCGCGACAACTGTTCCTCCTTTTCCTTTTTTGGCGTCGATTGAAGCTTCACCGGATCTAGAGTATTAGAGAAGATCGATGATCCTCGGTTCTGGAATATTTGATTAGAGAAGATGATCCTCAGGGGTAAATCACGTCCTTCTTCTCTCTCGGAGTTCGGTGCCCTAACAAATCAACTAGAGGTTCTATCGCGTCGTACCTCCCGATTCAGAGGTTCAATCGGCGTCAGCTGCTCAAGTCGTTGACTGATTTCTTCACATGCGTTTCGGTTTCAAAATCTAATCTTGTCAATTCTGTTTTTGTCAATGTATGATTCTGTTTTTGTTTAAGTTGTGTTAAATTAATGTTGGTAAGATGATTAGTTGTTGGGATGTAAGCTAAGTCAAGACAAGTTGAGTTGAGATTGTGTTTGTTGACCTAATCTTGTCAATTCTGTGTTAAATTGGGTAATGATGTTTAAAGTGAATTAGAAATGGTAATTAATGAAATTGAGAATTTGATGTCAACCAAATGATAGCTGGAACAAGGTTTAGGGAACATGTTAAGACTTCATTATATATTAATATCACATATTGATGATGGATTTTTAGTAAAATGATCAACCAGTACTTGTTTCAGTCTATTTTGTTCATTGACTTTGGAAAGGGGATTTAGGCGTACTTTTTGAGTATTTTATAAACTCATATGTAATTAATATTGATGTTACAATATTGATGACTATTGATAGAAAAAGAAAAGAATTTATAGAAATTGGGCAAGAAACATAATGTTTATTTTGATGACTATAATTCAAGAATGATCTAATCTCTTCTCCAATCTCTCTATATGCAGTCACACTGGTAACTATTTTGTTGTGTAACTAACCCATTAGCTACATGCTAACAACTTCGGTTGACTTTTCACTCCAGCTTTGACTTCTGTTTGACCTCTTTGACTATTTTGTTTTCTTATCTTCTAGTATATCATATATGTCTGTAGTAGAGTATTGTTGAAAACAACCAGCATATTGAATTGTGGAATATATACAAAGGATATATGGTATACTACTTCTAGTTTAAGAAGGACAATTGGGAATTGTTTATAGTTATGACAATAGGTGCACCATTAATCAGGTGATACATGGAAATTACAGCCCTAGGTACATGAGGTGCACCATTAATCAGGTGATACATGTTGTCTTAATGTCTTTCATTTTCATCTACTTTTCTTGTGAAATGTTTTAATGTAAGATTGATTTTGTTGTTGTTTGTTTAGATTCCTTGCACTTCAGATCTTTTAAACACATCTGGCATGCAATTGGCTTTATTGGTTCAGCCATTTGATTTATATGTATTAATTAATTAATACATATAAATTAAAATATCACGTCTACATTTGATTTCTATACATCAAAAAACAGTATTCACAACTTATAAATCATGAGCCAAAACACCTAAATTAACTAACAATTAAAATTCTCAGTTTTGGACCCAAAACAGCCACTGTTTAAAGCTGTTTTAGCACACTTGAAACCTGTATAACTTCCGTTTTTATTTCATATTCCAGAAGTTCAGACTTTTATCTTTTCAGAATGTACTTTTTAAGGTCCAAACGATTTTTCTACAATTTTATATGATTTTTACAAAACTGCCTATCAATGCAGCTAAATTCTGACCAGCTGGTGAAAAATGTGTTTTTCACCTAAGTTAGAAGCAACAATAGGTTATGGAAAAATTAATGGATAAACTAGATTCAAAATGGAAACTTTGAAAGTTTACGGATCATTAATTCGATTCCTAGTGATTTTTCTATAATTTTTCCAATATAGGGACAGATTTGTAATTTTTGCTGAATTTTTTAGCTTTGGATTTCAAAGGCTTTTTGACCACTTAACACATTAAGCCATCACTAAGAACACCCATAAGGGTAAAAATTAGCCTCTTAACAGACGTGGCATGTCAAACAATAAAAATATCAATCCCACTCACAACCCACTCATCAAGGTACAAAATATTTGGTGGAAAACAAAGTAGGTTGCACAAATAGGAACTTGGATTTCTTCCACCACCAATTCTCATAGAAGGACTTTGAAAGATTGTTTTGAGGCTTATTTGGTGACTCAAAACATGATTTAATCTAAACAAACAACAACAAAATCATGAGCACTCTTGTATTTATTTTTTTTCTTTCTCTGTCTCTATTGTTGGTTTGTGAGTATGCAGAAAGCAATTTTTCTGACTCCTTGGACATGCTTGAGGATAAAAGTTTAAAAATAGAAGATGATTCTGACTCGCCATCACGTTCAGGTGATGAACGTGGTGTTAGGGTTCTTATGAATGTTGATAGCTTTGGTGCTGTTGGAGATGGAGTTTCTGATGACACAAAGGTGAATATATATATATATATATATATATATATATATATATATATATATATATATATATATATATATATATAGTCTTTCTTGAGTGTATTGTTGGAGTCATTAAGGGGATTCTTTTTTATTTTCATGTATGTTACATAACAGGCCTTTGGAGATGCATGGAAGGAAGCATGTTTTACAGATTGCATTCACGGGAAGCAATGCAATATAAAATGATATATGCATGAGAACTCAACTGTAAAAATGGAAGAACAAGACTTGGAAGAAGAACAAGGATCTCCATGTCAATATGATTCAAAGTGTCATCCAACAACTCTTCTATCAGGTCAATCATAATTGATAATGGTTCATGTTCGAATTTTCTTGAATTTTTGTATTTGTCTAAATAATGGTGTGACGGTTATAAGTAAATCACATGTAAATCACAAGTAAATCACACATGAATTACATGTGATTCACATGTAATTATGAATTACATGTAAATCACATAAGAATTACATGTGATTCACATGTAATTCACACATGATTCATATGTAAATCACATGTAATTCACATATGAATTACGTGTGATTCACATGTAAATCACAAGTGATTCACATATGAATTACATGTAATTCACATGTAATTCACATATGAATTACATGTAATTCACATATGATTCACATGTAAATAACATATGAATTACATGTGATTCACATGTAAATCACTAGTGAATCACATATGAATTACATGTGATTTACATGTATATAATATCTAATTCACATATGAATTACATGTGATTCACATGTAAATCACATGTGATTCACATGTAAATCACTAGTGAATCACATATGAATTACATGTGATTTACATGTATATAATATCTAATTCACATATGAATTACATGTGATTCACATGTAATTCATATATGATTCACATATAAATTACATGTAATTCACATATTAATCACATGTAATTCACATATAAATCACAAGTGAATCACATATCAGTTACATGTGATTCACATGTAAATCACTAGTGAATCACATATGAATTACATGTGATTCACATGTAAATCACTAGTGAATCACATATGAATTACGTCAATATGCACACATGCATTTTGTGTGAGTGGTCTTTGTTAATTTTTTTTTTTTTTAATTTTCTTGTGAATTTCACATATGAATCTTAAAAGATACAATCACATGTGAATATCACATTATATAATCACATTTGAATCTTACATGATATAATCACATGTGAATCTTACATGATATATACTTGTGCATTTTTTTGAGTGTTCTTTCATTAATCAATTTTTTTTAAAAACTTTCTTGTAGGTTTTGAAGAATTTGTTGAAAATATTGAAGATGTGAAAAATGATAAATTGAAGAAAATATGGAAATCTTGATATGAAGAAATGATAACACCGTGAATCTTTGTAGTTTTTTTATATTTTATTTTGTATCAAATAAAATACTTGTATTATGTTTATAGATTGATTAATAAAAATGAGATTTTTTATAATTACTTACGAATATTATAGTATAAGAAATATGCATATATGCATTTGAAAAAATATGCATATATGCACCTAAAACGTTGATTTTTTTTGTTAAAAAAACGCAGTTTTGAAAAAAATTGCACTTTTTTTATAAAAATCGCATTTTTTTTTTGGAAAAAATGCAGTTTTTCTGAAAAAAATGCTGTTTTTTGAAAAAAAAATACAATTTTTTTCTAGAAAAATTGCAGTTTTTTTTTAAAAAAAAATGCAGTTTTTTTAAAAAAAAAATGCAGTTTTTTTTTTGGAAAAAAAATGCAGTTTTTTTTGAAAAAAGATGCAGTTTTTTTTTAAAAAAAAAATTTTAAATTTTTTTGAAAAATTCATGTTTTTTGAAAAAAATTAAAAAATGTCCATTTTTTAAAAAAATTGAACATTATTAAAAAAAAAAATAAATCCGAAATTTTTAGTTATTTTGTTAATTTTTAGACATTTATATTAATATATTAAATGTTAATATATGGTCTTAAATTCTAGGCCAAATTTCAACCAATATGGGCAATAATATACTTTAATTTTTTTATTTGGCACAAAATTCTAACAAATAGTTGTATGATTTATAGCGAACCTGGGCAACATCATCTAGGCCCTTAGCCTCATCAAGAGTTTCTTATTTTTGGTTTCTAGAACACCTGCAACCAAGAAAACAACAAGAAGACTTTTTTGATCTGTGCGTCCATTCTTCATGTTTTTTCTCTCATACTGTTGCAGCATTTTCTTGCTTAATTTTGTTGTTACAACAACTTCATTCGAACCATTTGAAGCATAATGCACAAACATGTTTGGATTATACTCCATGACCCACATAACCTGATTTCACATTTAAAAAAAAAACATCATCTTTCATCTTTCCAACTTCATACAAAAAATAAATGAGTAATAATAATACTAATATAGGTCTTTTTTTACCACCCATAGATATAACGCATCTACAAAGGAAAATTCCCTTCTGAAAAGCACCATTAGCATACGAATTGCAAACAAATATTCTCCACCATCCAACCCTTCTGATTTAAGTAAATTAAATAAAAAAGTGTTGTCGATTTATTTAAAACTTAAAAAAGCTTTTACCATAAATAGCAGATGAAAGTTGAAACTTGGTAGTACTTACCAAGGTGTTGATGAAGCTTTGGGTCAACAACTCTCATAACTTGTGAAAGTATGCTAAGTTGTGATTGCACTCCCATAGAAGTTGCATTAGACCTGAAATTTTCTCTCTTTATAAAGGAAACCAGAGATTAATCATTCTACATAAAGAAAATATAAAATAAAGGCATACACACCACTCTACGCATCGCATGCTCAAAGCACCAAAATGCATCTGCTTCTTCTTCCAAAAGAATAACCATTGGGGAACATATATCATTCATTCCTGTTTAAAATAAAAAATCACATGAGATTTATGTCCTACAGTTGTTGAGATAGAAGGGTAAAGTGTTTGTCACCTTGAACATAACCAATATCATCATCTACCCAAGTATATATAGCAAGAACATCCCATAACCTGGCTTGATTAGCTTCATTCTCATAATAAACAAGAGAACGATCTGTGCGTGCTACATCCAAACCTATCTGATGAAAGCTCTGTTTCCACTGAGTCACTTTCTTGTCGGAATCGGCATCAGAATCTGCCAATTCCATTCCATTGTATTCTCTTGGTTTTCCATCATCATTGATTATAGGTGACATCACAAACTTCCCACTACCAACAATGGGTGCCATCTTTTTACATTCCTCTTTCCATGAAGCATACCGTTCCCTAAAAACAAAAATAGCAGTTTTACTAAAATGTGAGTCTACTATTTGATTATCAGAAGAGTAAAATATAGAAACAATTAGAGATAAATGGCCTATGTAATTAATGTACTCTACCTGTTATGTGAAGATACTACCTCCTCTTTGCCCTGAGGGCTCCTCGTTCCTCAGAGGTACTGTTGGGATTATAACACCCCAACAAAAATTCCCATACTACCCCTTTAATTGATGGATGAATGCCCTGGAATGATAAAAAAGAGATATGATTCAATGTGAAGCTCTTCTCAATAAGAGCTTCACAAATTCTTCCTCTTGACATAGCTAACCGTCTTCTGTCCAATGTATATTTACTTTTATAATAATCAAACATACTAACAAATAGCCATATCAAATTCTCCAAGCTACAATGAAAAAGGTTCCAAATCGAGTCCCACACTTGCAAATAAATGGGAAAAATAAACACAATTTGCTAATATCCTTACAATAATTAACTCATAGAATCAATAACCAAAATTTGCTACACATCCATTTAGCTTACTTCTATCTTGTGAATAACTAAACCTGTGATTTTGTAGTACCGAGACCAGAAAGTAAAGGCTAATTAATCATATAAGATACATAGTGCCTTAGTTGTCATTCTTGTTATATACATTCATAGCACTTTATTCCATTCAAATTCCTGCTTTTTTTAAGGACCGGTCATTCATACACTCCAAAATAGAAAATAAAAACTTTACTTACAATCGTACTTCTGGAGCGCCATTTTCCTTCTTTTTTCTTGCATCAGACACCATCTAAAAAAAATTAGAACCCATCAAGTTTAATCATGAACTATTTATTTTAAACATTTCATCGAGCACATGGTAGGCCAAAATCTATGAATATATGATCAACATCAAAGGTAGCCTTTAAATCCTAATTTAAAAAATACCAAATATCATGGTTATACAGACAAACATTTTCAACTTATTTTGACCTAAAAGTGGGGCTCATGATATCGACAGCTCGAGAAGCTAAAAAATAGAGAACATTTGTCTCTTGTACGCGTAATGAAAGGCTCAATCAATAAGGGCGAAGTTCAAGAAACCAATAAGAAAAGCAAGGTAGGTCGTGAGGGAGGTGTTGCTGAATATAAAAATGATATTATTTCACTTGTACCTTAGGAAATAGCCATCGATTCAGGGGAAAGCATTTCTAGTGGCGAAGAGAAGGCATCATCTTGAACCTGCAATAAACCATAAACCTTTTGTTAATATGACCCATCAAACCAACATGGAATCAAAGAAGCACACATCAAGCAATGAGAGAGAGTGAGAGATAGAGAGAGCATGGAGGAGAGAAATACAAATATGGTGGTGGTGATGGTGAGTTTTGATGGCGAAGCTTCATCGAATCGTAGCAATAAATGGAAGCAACAAACTGAACCTACCAACAAATCGAAGCAACACAAAACCATTGAAAAAATAATTATAAGAAGAAGTGATGAGTAAATACATGCCAATAGCAGCAAGGGCCATCCTTTTTCCAATAAACCTTGAAACAAATAAGAAGTCTTCGATAGTTTGCTTGTGAAAAACACACATTCAGAAAACGCTAATAGAGAGAAAGAGAAAGCACTGACACTTACCAATAGAAATCAAAGCATTAGAAAATGGGTGATAGATGTTTATCGGAAGAAACAATGCAACTCTGGAGCGGCTGGGATAGAAATCAATTAAGCTTTTTGTGTAGATTTCAACTTGTGAAATTGAGAAAGGAAACTCCTCGATTCAATTTATGGCATTGAAGTCTTTGATAACATATAAATTCGGGAAGATAACGAAGGCCAGGTCAATACAAGAAAGAAAAGGCTACATAGTGGGAAGGTTGTTGTACATAATATGGATTAAGGATCTGGTTAAGATCCATCCTCGAGATTTAAGGTTTAAAAGTAAGTTGACTGGATAAGATTATGATTTCGGGAATGCACTACTTTGTTGTAAATGTTGCTTTAAGGGGTGTACCTCTTAAAATTCAGCAAAACATGCTAAATGCTTATTAAGGTATAAAGATATATATATATATATATATATATACACACACACATACATACTAGGTGTAACGAAATGGAACAGAACTCTCAGGATTCGAGAAGGACTAGGCAGGCTCTTTACGGCATTCGATTCATATATCTAAGAAGGAGATTTCTTATATACTATACTGCTACGACTGCCACAAAGAAAGCTTCAGCAGCTACATCCCGTGTACTACACGAGTTGATTAAAAAATTTAAATATCAATGTGTAACATTAAATATTTTTTAAAGTAAAAAATTGAAATATATACAAACAAAATGATGAATAAGTAAGTAATTCAATCAATACGGTTGACAAAATAACTTATATTCAAAAGTCATTACTTGATCATAATGACCTTTATACCTTTCAACACAATGCAGCAAAAGCGGACAAAATTTGTGCAGGTAAAACTCATGGAGCTCACACCATCTGTTGAAACAATTTATGATGAATTCAACCCACCATGCTCGCGCCTAAAAGTAGAACAACCTAGCCCCAAGAAAATACTTAACATTAATAAGTCTAACAACAAAGCAACCACCAAGACCTGTGATATTTTTAGAATTCACCAACACTTATCCAAAAGCCATAAATATAGGTAAAAGCCTTCAAAGATCAACACATATACCAAGATTTTTCAAAAATTTTAACAACTTTAATATTGAAGGAAAGCTCCATAAATATATTGCACTTTAAAAGATTCTATTTCCACACCTTTATAATAGCTATTATTTAGTTTTTAAAGTAAAGTCGCATCCTCATGCTGATGCTTCTTGATTGAATAGTTATTCTTTAGTTTTTTAAAGTAAAACAACTAACATTAAATAAATATTTAATTTATATTGATTCAAACAAAATGACGTTATATATAATCAAAATGAATAAATTATATTTTTATAAATTACAAGTCAAAGCTGAATCATAGTCATATACTTACAGTCTTTTTATAAATTATATCATTAAACAATTATAACTAAATTAAGTATTCGAATACAATTAACTCAAATTAATTTTTATATTATTAAAACACGTATTTATTTAATAACAAAATTACATTAATAACCCATTTAAACAAATAATAGTAAACAATCAGTTATAAGCAATTGGAATTAATTGCTATAATAATATGGCTTAATTACTTTAATGATGTGGCAATAAAATAAAAATCGAAAAAATAAGAAAATGACATGTGGAAACAAAATTACTCTAAATTAATGAGAAAATTACATGTGTCAAGATTAAGGAGAAAGTGTCATTTGACAAAAATATCTTTATTTATTAGGATACTAGTTTATAACACGTGAGAACCACGGTTATAAAATTAATTAAAATTTCATATTAAAAAATCAAAATTAGTAATCAATTATTTTAAATAAATTATTACTTAAGAGATATTTTTTTAGTTATATAAAATTATAATTGTTGATTTAAATAAGGGGATATATACACTAAAGTCCCAATATTTTCATTGATTTGACAAGAAAGTCATAAACTTTATTTTTTTGACAGTAAAGTCCAAATTACCGACATTTTTTGACACTTTTACCATTTTTTCCCGGTTAGCCGGTAGTTAGGACTTTTTTGTCAAAAAAATAAAGTTTAGGACTTTCTTGTCAAATCGTCAGTTAGGACTTTATTGTCAAAAAAATAAAGTTTAGGACTTTCTTGTCAAATCGTTGAAAGTATTAGGACTTTAGTGTATATATCCTTTTTTTTGTTAGAAATTTAATGGTATGATACTCTTTAAGCATAAGAGTTATTAAAACCTTTTCTAGTCAGCTAGATCCTATTGAAATCCTTAACATTTGCTTATTGTTAAATCGTTTTTTAATCTCAACAAACGACATTGAAAAAAAATGGAGATAATCAAGAAAGAAAGAAAGAACCAGGGTTGTGTTGGCTTTTTGCAGTCCCAAAAATGGAGAAATAAGAAACCGAAAAAAATGAAATTGCCCTGGCTTTATATAAACACAAACAACACATGCCTAGTCAAAAGGGTGTGAATGTGGAGAAGGGAAAGAAGGGCAACTTCGTTTTTTTTTGTTTCTTATTTCTCTATTTTTGGGACTGCAAAAAGCAACACAACCCTGGTTCTTTCTTTCTTTCTTTCTTGATTATCTCAATTTTTTTCAATGTCGGTTTGTTGAGATTGAAAAAATGATTTAACAAGAAGCAAACGTTAAAGATTTTAATAGGATCTAGCTGATTAGAGAATGTTTCAATAACTTTTATGCTTAAAGAGTATCATACCATTAAATTTCTAACAAAAAAATTATATATACACTAAAGTCCCAATATTTTTAACGATTTGACAAGAAAGTCCTAAACTTTATTTTTTTGACAGTAAAGTCCTAATTGACGATTTGACAAGAAAGTCCTTAACTTTATTTTTTTTGACAAAAAAGTCCTAATTACCGGCTAACCGGGAAAAAAGGGTAAAAGTGTCAAAAACTGCCGGTAATTTGGACTTTACTGTCAAAAAAATAAAGTTTAGGACTTTCTTGTCAAATTGATGAAAATATTGGGACTTTACTGTATATATCCCTTTAAATAAGTATGTGAAGTTATATCACATTATAATCTATATTGATTTTATTTTATTTTTTAACTTAATGTTATTAATTTAATATAATTAGAATGAAAAAAATTGAAAATTTAAAATTGAAAATGAAGAATCAATTACTCCCTCCGTCCCAAAATTATAGTCCATCTTTCCTTTTTCGTTTGTCCCAAAATAATAGTCCACTTCTAAAAATAAATAACATTTTTAACAAAATACCCCCTCATTATTACTTAACCAACTAAGCATTTAATGAAACATTAAATGCAAAGTTAGGATAAAATTGTCATTTTATTGTATAAAAGTTAGTGGTAATTAATGTTTCCTTAATTTGTGTGTTTTTTGTCTGTGGACAATAATTTTGGGTCGGAGGGAGTATTAATTTAATGTAGTTAGAGTGAAAAATTTAAAATTTAAAATTTGAAATTAATAATTAATTGGTTGACAAGTGGCATGACAGGTTAAATATAGTTATTAATGAGAAGTTATAATAGTATGACACTTGTCAATAGGAGAATAAACCTATTCATTTATTAGAATAGGAAGATATATATATATATATATATATATATATATATATATATATATATATATATATATATATATATATACTAGACGAATTCTCGCGCGTTGCGCAGCGAAGATTAAAAATATATTGTTAAAATATTAAAATATATATGTTTAAAATGGTTATGTTATTGA